TTATTACAGAGGTAGATTTCATCAAATAGCTACACAGTATGTTATGTAACAAACAATTATTAAAATTTATTTTAGCATCTCAAAAAAAAAGTATGTGTGTATTATAGAAAATTCTTCTAAAGGCTATTGAAAAACAGTTAACTAAACTTACATAGTATTATTTTGTTCTTGCATTTGTTAACACCAGCAAATTCCACTCCTATTTCAGGCAAAAATACAAATTGTGGTTATACCATTTCAGTGATTAAAATTCTGACAAAAGAAAATATTGGTCTTTGTAATAACCTAATTATTTATTTATCAGGAATAGTGTCTCTTTCAAATCTGCACCTGGGAGAGCCACAAGAACCTGCTTTTGGTTTTCTACTGGGGTCAACCTCTCATTTTTACTGGTGTTTCTCATTACAATTCTCCTATCAGTAAATGTGGAGTAACCTAGTTGGAGCTTAGCAAAATGCTGACCATAAAAGACAGAGTGCTTTTGTTTCGGACACAATTGCCAAAGAACCAATCGCATCCACTGGGTGATTACCCCAGGTTCAACTATTTGACTTTTATAGTCATAAATCATACGCCGATGGTAGCTACAGCTTTCCCAGAAAAGTTAAATGCCTCAATGTGTCTGGGTTTCAGTACACATTATTGTCAGCTGCATTAATTAGCGTTTTTTTAGTACAAACAAGTATAGAGAAGAAAACAAATGTAGCCCATTATTCCACAGCTCAGACCTCAATAAAACAAATAAATAAATATACTCAGGACTAGCAAATTCACACTGGATAGAAGGACATGGAAAAAAAGGAATAATCTTCCTTTTGCCCTACCCCTCTCTTCCCCTAACCTAGAACCTACTTTCCGCCACTATCTGTATGGCTCGCTTCAGGTATGTAGGCTAAGATCATCTTTTCATTAACGTCTTCCCTAGTGCTTTTTTAAGGGGCAGGATGTTATCCTACCCACTTTCTTGCTTTGTAACTCATCATAACACTTAACCACCATCTAAGATACTTTACATTTGACTTACTTTGTATGCATTTTCTGTCTTTCCCCAACTAGAATGCAAGTTCCATGACAAAAGGGATTTTTATTTTTTACTATTCTTTAATGGTGGTATCTTCAGAGCTAGAACAATACCTGGTTCATGGTAAGCACTCAATAAATACTTGTGAATGAACTGATTCTGTATCTTGTGAAACTCAGACGGATGACTGGGGTTGAAGCATTACCTATCATTATGAGTACATCTTGTTAGCCAAAGTTTAAAACCGTACATGATACTATTAGTAGTACCAATGTACTACTTCTCGAATTTTCCACATTCAGTACCAGATCTGAGATACATTCCATTATTCAAGTTCTGGTTTTCATTTTCTTTCTAGATGAAAGAATTTGTTGGTTCCACTCTCTTGCTGTCATGGCAGAACTAGTGTAGTTTTGAGATCAGCACATTTTTCCAGTAAACTTTCAATCACAATACAGATATTAACAAGCTAAAAAGTCCTGCCCAGTTTTATGCAAATTCCATCAATCCTGTATCCTCTTAGCCCTCCCAGCTGACCCCCAATAAAAGTGGAATATTCTTCCTTTTTATGTTTGTGATATATGCTGGAAAGAGAAAATTAGACAAAATATTGATCAAAGGCCTTTGGCCTGGAGAATATTGACTAATTTAATCCATTTTCCCTACATTCATTTTTGCTTTCACTTTACTGCAGCATTAAATTTAAGTTCCATATTTATAAGTGTATGGTTCAGAAAAGTTATGCAGAAAATATTTTTAAAACATTACCTTCCAAAATTTTACGTTATTTGGAAGTTTTTTTTTTTTTTTTTTTTTTTTTAGTATTAACCCTTACAAATGCTGATGATGTTAGACAACTGTGAACCAGACTCAGACATCTTTTCCTGTTATTTCCATGTTTGGTCAGATTTTACAAAATAGGAAGCCTCCAACTTTCATTGCCAGGTCTTCAGAAACCCAGACCATGTGCTTTTTCCCTTTCTCTATAGCTAACTTTTTTTTTTTTTTTTGAGACGGAGTCTCGCTCTGTCGCCCAGGCTGGAGTGCAGTGGCCGGATCTCAGCTCACTGCAAGCTCCGCCTCCCGGGTTCACGCCATTCTCCCGCCTCAGCCTCCCGAGTAGCTGGGACTACAGGCGCCCGCCACCTCGCCCGGCTAGTTTTTGTATTTCTTAATAGAGACGGGGTTTCACCGTGTTAGCCAGGATAGTCTCGATCTCCTGACCTCGTGATCCGCCCGTCTCAGCCTCCCAAAGTGCTGGGATTACAGGCTTGAGCCACCGCGCCCGGCCTGCAAACTTTTTTAAGTATAGTAACACAATGCAAGACAACTTGAACTCATCTACCTTTAGGAGCATTTCATTCTTAAATTCAACATCTCTTTTGACTCCTCTGAAAGAATTAGCATTATTGATTGTTTTCATTTAGGATCCCTCCAGCAGCCTCTGGGACAGAAGTGACAGAGCCAGGGGCAAATGACAAAGTAAATTAAGTCCAAAAAAAGGTGACCAAGGGAAAATTCCAAAGGAAAATTAAATGGGCTTGAGGATGTGTGGACCAGCATACACATTCAGCTGTTTATTGAACTAAATCTGTTTCCATATTTGCCGTAGCTGCTTTCTCCAGAAATATACTTGGGTTTTTCATTAAGTGTGTACCTGTGTCTGTTTTCTTTCAGTGCAGATGTCTGTGATAGTTTTGTTAAGGGGTGGACTATGTCAATACATTCTATTGCATTATTGGTTTTGTCAAACAATGGGATATTTGGTCGTTTGCGTGGATGTTTTGATGTATTAATGTGGCTTTAGCACAAGTTGTGACAGTTATTTTTTTTTCAAAAGCCTTAAGTGTGTGCTTATATTACTAAACTACTCTATGTATCAGTCCACATTTCAGAGCTACTGCTGATATATCATCTTATCTACATTATTGTACTTCTTGGTGAAATTCACTTGTAGTTACCTTCTGCTCACTTCTTTATTTTACTTGTCCTGTGCAACAGAGTCCACTTCACTAAGTGAATATATTTTATGATCCTAATTTTGGAGTGTCAGTCTATTTAGATCCTATTATAAAAACTATTGGGAATAGTAGGGTTTGGTTATGATGATGCAATTTCTATGCATAACCATTGACTACTAACATGTACTGAGCACCTATGATGTTCCAAGCCACATGGGCAAGCTTTGAACATACAAATGTCCTCAAAGAACCTACAATCTAGTGGGTGAGAAAGGATACCACTAGACAAATAATCCTATTTTGCAAGACCTAAAGAGGAAGGTAAACCTATACCAAGCTTTCTAAAGTATGCTTTTTAATTGAAATATGTTTTAAACTCAGTAGAGAAAAGAAATACCGGATATGTGGGAGTAGATGTGCAGAAATGTTTTGAGAGGGAGTTATTTATTCACATGTCTAGCTAATGGGTGATAGATGTGGTTTGTATGATTATTTGGGGTTTGGAGTAGGAATGGTTTAGGAAACTGGTGCTCAAATCTTGGTCTGCAGACCAGCAGCATCAGCATCACCAGGGCACTCCTTAGAGATGCAAATGTTTGCACCCCCACCTCCCCAGACCTACTGAATAGCACTTCAGGCCATTCTGGTACATGCTAAAGTTGGGACCCATTGGTTTATGTCAGGGTAAGTATAGTATTCTCAACCCCAAATGCACATCACCTGGGGAATTTTGTTTGTTTGTTTGTTTTAATATCTATGTCCAAGCCCCTGCCTCAAACCTATTAAGTCACAATCTCTGGGATGGAACCCTGAACATAAGCATTTTTTAAAAGCTCCCCAGGTAATTGGACTATGAAAACAGGTTCAGAACTGTTGATTTAGGAAAAATAAGGAGTTTTGTATGTTTAAGTGATCTATAAATCGGCCCTCCTGTCTTTCTGTCATCAACACCATGCATGTAACAATGTAACATATGATTACTTTTATTAGTTTTGCACACTGTACTTTCAAAACTGAAACTTTGCATGCCTTATACATTATGACTGTAGTAGAGAACAAGAAGAGTTTAAATTGCACCTGCTTTAGAAAATCCAGGATGAATGCTTACTCTAAGAATGAATGTTACATCTTATTCAGGATTAGTTCTTGTAATCAGATACGCTGGACACCATTCTAGAATCTGATGCCATCGGTCAGGACATGGAAACTGCTGCAATTACAAAGCACTTTTGGTTATGGTTTTTGCTGTAAAATGATTTCATTGTCATCACTGCTAAGATTAATCATGGATTTTTTTTCAAGTTGGCATCTTCCAGTAGTTTGGTGAATGCCAACCTTCCCCTTTCCAGAAAGTATCAAGTTCTAACAGCTGTGACTCCTGTCAAGGGATTCAGCAAGATGCCTTAGCCATCTGCTGGCTTCCTGCAGGTAACCTCCTGCCACCACATCTATCAGCATAGAGCTGACAAGCAGAAAGCAGCTTCTGAAATCTGCCCTCCATCTTGAAACCTTCTCTGCTGGCCCTTCTATTCTTTTTCTGCCATAATTACCTTTAGGCTGCAATGAAGAGAGCCTTCCTTCACCCCTGCCACCCTTTACCAGGGTGACCAACCATCCCTATCTAGCTGGGACAGAAGGGGCTCCTGGGATGCGAGACTTTCTGTGCTAAAACTGGGATGGTCCCAGGCAAACCAGAAGTTAGTTACCACACCTTTACCCAACAAGTCTGACCTCTTCTGCCTTTGCTGCATTTTTATAGCTCAGTGGTTCTCAATCTTTGGCATCTTGCAGAAGTTTGATAGTTAAGATCTTGTTAAAACATAAATTGCTGGGCCCAAATCCCAGAGTCTCCGATTCAGTAGGTAGGGCCAGATAATGCCCATCTATCACAAGGGATGCTGATGATCCAGGGACCGCACTTTGAAAACCACTGCTATAGTTCAACATCTGGCAAAGAAAACACCAATTTCCTTCCACTATGAAGCTCAGTGTCTCATATTCTACTTATATTCCAACAGGTCTTCTCATTTATTGATTGCTGTACTAAGTATTTGAAACTGACACTAGCAGCAGGGATATTCAGCCCAGTCCTGGGAGCATGGTAGGTACTCGACAAATGCTTATGTGGGTTCACTGAACGGTATCTGGTTATGCAATAATAGTCTCAAGAATGAAATGTGACTAACATTTTCCCCCTATCAATTAGACAAAAACTAAGTCTCTCTATTCATTTCCTCCAACAGTATCTTTAAGATGCAAGTCATTAAAGGTTAAACCATCTCATCTGTTGTTAGTGGTAATACAAATTTGTACCGCTTTCTTGAGAGAAGTTGGGTAAGACGCATTTCAAAACCCTCAAATGGGACACACCATTTGATACAGGAAATGCTCCACTTCTAGGAATTTACTCTAAAGAAATGGTCTCAGTTTTATACAAAAAGTCACAAAACTTATCAATACAGAGGGTTAACAATAGGGAAACAGCCAAAATGTCCATTAGGAAGTAATTAAATAAGGTGTTTTCTCAGTTGAACACTACACTCAATGACTTAGAAGAATATGTAATAAATGGAAAAAAATATTCATGTTACAATGTTCAGTGGGGAAAAAGTAGTACTATTGGATGAGTCCGTAGTTAAACTGTAAAACATTTGTAGATAAATGTACATTTCAGTGGTATTCAACAAAAGTATTAACCATGACTATCTTTAAATGATATTAACTTTTTAAATTTTTTTAGTTCAGCTAAAATTTTTCTAGATTTTCTACAATAATTATGAACTACTTTTGTAATAAGGGTAAAAGACAATTTATTTTTTAAAGAGAAGACAAATGAGATTGTGACCATCAAGGTCAATCAATGAGATTTCTCCCTGACATCCTGTCTCCTGTTCCCATGGCTGGTTTTTAGGTTCCTATGCTCACCTCACCCTGGCTTACTTACATCCAGGCAGTTGCCAGTGAGTGCCCCACTCACACCCTGTCTTTAATCAGGGTGACTCTGATAATCATTTCATGCTTTCCTACTACCAGCCCTGCAGCCAACCTGCCCAGTGCACTGTGTCTGAAAACGGCATTTAGAAATACCCTACAAGTGGCAAATGGCATCCTTACAGGCATTGGTTCTGGGACTTACCACGGTAACAGGAATCCCATGAGACTGCAGAGCTTTCCAGATGAGGCTACCTTTGTCCTCTCGTGATACTACCCAGAACACCATTCTCAGAAGCCTCCTTGGTTAGGCTTCAGAAACTGAGGGGCTGTATCAGGACCTCCAAATTCCTCAACTAGACCAGGACAAGAATGCCTTAAAATAGGTGTAGCAGGGCTGGGCATGGTGGTTCACGCCTGCAATCCCAGAACTTTGGGAGGCCGAGGCAGGTGGATCACTTGAGGTCAAGAGTTTGAGACCAACCTGGCCAACATGGCAAAATCCTGTCTCTACTAAAAATATATATTTAAAAAAAACAGCCAGACATGGTGGTGAGCGCCTGTAGTCCCAGCTACTCAGGAGGCTGAGGCAGGGGAATCGCTTGAACCCAGGAGGCGGAGGTTGCAGTGAGCCAAGATCGCGCCATTGCACTCCAGCCTGGGTGACAGAGTGAGACTCCATCACAAAAACAAAAACAAAAAAAAGTTGTAGCGGGTGTTCCACAACCTTGCTAAGTGCATCATCTGCCAATTTCGCAAACTATTCGAAGTTTGCTCATGACTTCACTTAACAAAACTTTTAAAATCTCAGTGTAGGCCGGGCGCGGTGGCTCACGCCTGTAATCCCAGCACTTTGGGAGGCCGAGGCGGGCAGATCACAAGGTCAGGAGATCGAGACCACGGTGAAACCCCGTCTCTAAAAATACAAAAAATTAGCCGGGCGCGGTGGCGGGCGCCTGTAGTCCCAGCTACTCAGGAGGCTGAGGCAGGAGAATGGCGTGAACCCGGGAGGCGGAGCTTGCAGTGAGACGAGATAGCGCCACTGCACTCCAGCCTGGGCGACAGAGCGAGACTCCCTCTCAAAAAATAAAAAATAAAAAAAAATAAAAAAATAAAATCTCAGTGTAAATTTTGGAAAGTAAAGCCTTTTGGGGGAGTATATCTAAATACTCCTTTTAAGCTAGCTTATGGAATAACCCCTCCTCCACTCTTCCCATAAGCTAAAGACCCAAGGAGATCACAGGCTTAGCCAAAAAGCTTGCAGAGAACAGCCCTCTTAGAAGAGGCAATAATGAACTGCTCGATGCCACTGCCCTTTTGGACATGAAATCAGTAGGACTTAGGGACCATCTGAACTTCTCTCTCTCGCCTCCTGGCTGCCCTACATTCTATAATATCTTGTTTCCATACCAGAAGAGAAACAATCCCCCAACTAGTGAAAGAGCAGCATGGGTGAGGAGATGATATAATAATGATTATTCTAACAAATTTATATCATACCCTTTTCTGTGTGTGTTCATGTATATCATCTCATAGCTATTTTTTATTTATTTTTTATTTTATTTTATTTTTTTTGAGACAGTCTCATTCTGTCACCCAGACTGGAGTACGGTGGCATGATCTCAGCTCACTGCAACCTCCGCCTCCTAGGTTCAAGTGATTCTCATGCCTCAGCCTCCCGAGTAGCTGGGATTACAGGCACTGGCCACCATGCTCAGCTAACATTTGTATTTTTAGGAGAGACAGGGTTTCACCACGTTGGCCAGGCTGGTCTTGAACTCCTGGCCTCAAGTGATCCACCCACCTCAGCCTCCCAAAGTGCTGGGATTACAGGCGTGAGCCACTGCACCCGGCCTATCGCATGACTGTAATTCTCACATTTCCTATCCAGTTTTGAACAGTGTAGTGTGACGATAAACAGGATGCAATCAGATAAACTGGGTTATACTCCCAGTCCTGCAATTTGCTAGTTGTGCAGTCTTTTGCAAGTTACATCACCACTCTGAGCTTCAGTTTCTTCTTCTGTAAAATGAGCCCATAATGCCAAGTTTATAGAACTACTGTGAAGATTAGAGATAACATACATTAAAGTAACTGGCAAAATACTTGGCATATTAATGGTTTCTCAGCAAAGTGTAGCTGCACAGAACAGTTATAATCTCTATTTGATGGAAGTCTTGTAAAGCCCTAGTGGAAAAGTTAGAAAATTACAGTAGTCCCCTGCCTTGTCCTTGGGGGATGTGTTCCAAGACCCCTGGTGGATACCTGAAACCTCATATAGTACCAAACCAATACACACACGTACACAATGCACAAATTTATTTTTCCTCCACAACTTCATGTATAGAAGATTTGTTCTTACTGTAGATCTTAGCAACCTCAGTATATGATTTCTTTTTAAATTTCCTTAAGTGGAGAACTTTCACCTTCGCACTGAAAGGAAGCTTCTCTTTGGCATACCTGAATTGCCAGCATCACTACTCTTATGCTTTGGGGCCATTATTAAGTAACATAAGGGTTACTTGGGCACAAGCACTGTGACAGTTGATCTGATAACTGAGACAGCTACTAAATGACTAACAGGCAAGTAGCATATACAGCATGGATACACTGGACAGAGAGGTGATTCACGTCCCAGACGGCACAGAGCTGGACAGCAAGAGATTTCATCATGCTACTCAGAATGGCACGCAGTTTAAAACTTAGGAATTGTTTACTGCTGGCATTTTCTACTGAATATTTTCAGAATTTGGTTGCCCCTAGGTAACTGAAACAATGAAAAGCAAACCCATGGATAAGGGAGGATCACTGTGCTATCTGCATTATCATTATGCAGTTATTTGAGAATCATCTCCTAGAATTTGATGTATCCACTTCCTATCCTCCTCACCCCTGTCATTGCCTAAGTTTAGGCCCTCCCCGTCCTTCTCTTGAGTCATTTCCAAAACTCCTAACTGGTCTTAGTGGCTGCAATCTGTCCCTCTCCAGGCCATGATCTCTAATATTAGGATTAAGGAAGTTGATATGGTTTGGCTGTGTTCCCACCCAAATCTCATCTTGAATTGTAGCTCCCATAATTCCCACATGTTGTGGGAGGGACCCAGTGGGAGGTAATTAAATCATGGGGGCAGGTTGTTCCCATGCTGTTCTCATGATAGTGAGTAAGTCTCATGAGATCTGATGGTTTTATAAATGGGAGTTCCCCTGCATACACTCTCTTGCCTGCCACCATGTAAGGCATGCCTTTGCTGCTCCTTCTCCTTCCACCATAATTGTGAGGCCTCCCAGCTATGTGGAACTGTGAGTCCATTAAACCTCTTTCCTTTATAAATTACCCAGTCTTGGGTATGTCTTTATTAGCAGTGTGAAAACAGACTAATACAGAAGTAAAACTTAAGTTATTTGTGCCCCACTCCCCCGACAAAAACTATACTAGCTCTCTCTGGCCCATTCTTTGACACGACCCACAAAGCCTTCCTTCTGCATATCATCTCCCATTATTCCCTTTGCTGTCTCTTCCACCAGTGGAAGCTGTACCCCAGCAATTGTGGCCATCTCACAGCCTGTTCTGTGCTATGTTCTGCCATGTCTGCTGCCTTTGCATCAAACAACAGTGCTTCTTCCTGAATGCCCTAATCTCACTTCTCTGCCCAGAGAAATTTCTTTTTCTTTCCAAAGTCCACTCAAACATCAGTTTCATTGGAAATCCAATCTTGACTCCCCAAGGCTTAACTGCCCCTCCACTGTGGCTCCCAGAATGCATTGCACACCCTTCCGTTGCACACTCACCATGATGTCCTCTAAATGACCTGGTAACAAGTCTCTCTCTCCCAGCTCCTCAAAGGCAAGGACTAATAGCTAATGTTTATTGAGTGCCTACTATGAACCATACTCTATGCCAAGCATTATATTCATATATATACACATATATAAAATAGTAGTAACCATCCTATAGGATTAAGATTAAATGATATTATATATAATATTAACATATAGAAGTTATATATAATTTAATATATAGTTATATATTACATATTGATATATATTATATAAATATTATATATTATATGTATAATTTATAATATATAAATGTATATTATTAGATATAATTAACATTTATTATTATATATTAATATTATATATTATATATCTAATATTAGATATAAAATA